TGCCCTCCAGCGGAGACGTCAAACGAGATGTCCCGTTTTGGCAGCGACGCTTGCCCTCTGCCGTGGGGGGGCGAGCGGCAGAGTGAGGCGGGAGCGCCCGCGTCTCGCGCCGTGTGTGGGTGTCGGACTCCGTCTTGGTGAAAGTGCCTTCGTTGACAGCGAGTGGAGAGTCGGCCCACGCGGTGCTCGTGTTTCACTCTCGGTTTGCCCCTATGATTTGAACACACGAATACAGGATCGTGTTTTACTTTAAATGCATTTGCACGTTGCGTCTTTGATTTTGTTTGTCTTTCTCCCCCGTAGGGCTATTTTCGTCACTGTGCACTCGTCCTGATTGCAACAGGTGTGAGTGTGAGCAGGTGTGTGGTCTTGAGTGTGAGCAGGTGTGTGGTCTTGAGTGTGAGCAGGTGTGTGGTCTGAGTGGGAGCAGGTGTGTGGTCTTGAGTGGGAGCAGGTGTGTGGTCTTGAGTGTGAGCAGGTGTGGTCTTGAGTGTGAGCAGGTGTGTGGTCTTGAGTGTGGGCAGGTGTATAGTTTGGGTGTTTGGCAAGTGTGATTGTGGGCTAATGGCACGAGTGTGAGGCAGATGTTGCGTGTGGGTAGCTGTGTGTGCAAGTAATACTTTGGAGGTGTGAGTATTAGACGGTGTGCCTGTGTGTTAGTAGAAAGTATTGGGCAGGTTTGAGTATTTTGCAAGTGTGGGGGCCCCAAGCAGATGTGATTATAGACACTTGTGAGCTGTGTTCGGTGCGTGTGTGTGATACACAGGTGTGAGTGTTAGGTGTGTGTGTGAGTGTTCGGTGTGTGTGAGTGTTCGGTATGTGTGTTAGGTGTGTGTGTGTGAGTGTTAGGTGTGTGTGTGTGTGTGAGTGTTCGGTGTGTGTGAGTGTTCGGTGTGTGGGAGTGTTCGGTATGTGTGTTAGGTGTGTGTGTGTGTGAGTGTTAGGTGTGTGTGTGAGTGTTCGGTGTGTGTGAGTATTCGGTATGTGTGTTAGGTGTGTGTGTGTGAGTGTTAGGTGTGTGTGTGTGAGTGTTCGGTATGTGTGTTAGGTGTGTGTGTGAGTGTTCGGTGTGTGTGAGTGTTCGGTATGTGTGTTAGGTGTGTGTGTGTGAGTGTTAGGTGTGCGAGTGTTAGGTGTGTGTGAGTGTTAGGTGTGTGTGTGTGTGAGTGTTAGGTGTGTGTGTGGGTTGGTGTGTTGTGTGAGTTCGGTGTGTGAGTGTTAGGTGTGTGGGTGTGTGGGTGTTAGTGTGGTGTGTGTGAGGTTAGGTGTGTGTGGTGAGTGTTGTGGGTGTGTGTGTGTGAGTGTTAGGTGTGCGAGTCTTAGGTGTGTGTGTGTGTGAGTGTTAGGTGTGCGAGTCTTAGGTGTGTGTGTGTGTGAGTGTTAGGTGTGCGAGTCTTAGGTGTGTGTGTGTGAGTGTTAGTGTGCGAGTCTTAGGTGTGTGTGTGAGTGTTAGGTGTGCGAGTCTTAGGTGGTGTGGTGTGAGTGTTAGGTGTGCGAGTCTTAGGTGTGTGTGTGTGTTAGTGTGAGTGTTAGGTGTGCGAGTCTTAGGTGTGTGTGTGTGTGAGTGTTAGGTGTGCGAGTCTTAGGTGTGTGTGTGTGAGTGTTAGGTGTGCGAGTCTTAGGTGTGTGTGTGTGTGAGTGTTAGGTGTGCGAGTCTTAGGTGTGTGTGTGTGTGAGTGTTAGGTGTGCGAGTCTTAGGTGTGTGTGTGTGAGTGTTAGGTGTGTGAGTGTTAGGTGTGCGAGTCTTAGGTGTGTGTGTGTGTGAGTGTTAGGTGTGCGAGTCTTAGGTGTGTGTGTGTGTGAGTGTTAGGTGTGCGAGTCTTAGGTGTGTGTGTGTGTGAGTGTTAGGTGTGCGAGTCTTAGGTGTGTGTGTGTGTGAGTGTTAGGTGTGCGAGTCTTAGGTGTGTGTGTGTGAGTGTTAGGAGCGTGTGAAACCCCATGTTGTAAGCCCCGCCTGTCTCCCCCTCCCATCTTCACTGCGCATTGCTCACCGCTGCGAGCACCAGGTGGCGACACTCAGTCTCGTGCTGAAGGGAACCCGACGTGGGCCAGGTACAGAACAGGTACAGAACAGGTACAGAACAGGTACAGAACAGGTACAGAACAGGTATAGAACAGGTGTAGACCAGCTGTAGAACAGGTGTAGAACAGGTGTAGACCAGGTGTAGAACAGGTGTAGACCAGGTATAGAACAGGTATAGAACCGGTATAGAACCGGTATAGAACCGGTATAGAACAGGTATAGAACAGGTATAGAACAGGTATAGAACCGTCAACATTCTGCACGGCCCGGGACTGGCAGACCCCCGGAACCGAGTGCGGTGCTCCAACACACTGACCGATGATGTGTGCCAGCACTTTTAGCCTCTCGTGAGCCAGGGCTCAGGCAACGCTGGCTCCGACTGAGTCACATTCCTCACCCCTGGGGGACACGAGGACAGTGGATGAGCTCTGGCCACCTCACCAGGCCCGTGCCAGGCTGATTTGACGCTGCTGGGATATCGCCAGACCCGGTCTCCCGGGAGGCTGCGTGCATTTACTGGCGAGATCTCGCTGTCGACTTGACCTGGAGCCACGACACGTCCTTGGTGTCCAGAGACGAGCGTAACTGCTGTTGCGCATGCCTGCCTCTCCACTCTCCACTCTCACTTTACTCCTCACCACTCACTCTCCACTCTCCTCCTCACCACGCACTCTCCACACGAGTGGCTGATGTATTCTCTTGAAGCACCCCGATCATCATTCGCTCAGTCTGAGGTCTCTCATCCTTTGCCCCCCACCCTCCTCCACCGCCACCCGTGCTGTCGACTCCCTGTTCAGGGACAGGCTCAAAACTTTCCTCGTCCGCCTATCATGGTCTTGGGATGCGGTGCATGTGGACTCCGCTGTTTAAATCCACGCAGTGAATTGCAGTTGGCCTCCACGCGTGAACGTGGTTCACACCATCTCGACTCTGAGTCCCGCGTCCGGGTACCTGTAGGGTGTCCCCGCGTGACACGCAAGGCTGGTTTGTTTATGTTTCGGGTCGGTCCGAAGACGTTTTTGAGGCTTGCTGGTCGGTGCATGTTCATCGCGGGTCACCCGCGGGTCACCTGCCGAGAATCATCCAATTCATAATTACTGCTTCAGCCCACACCGGTGGACTGAAGCGGTAATTAATTGGCGCGTTAAATTTAGATTTAAAGCTTTTGTGACTGCAGGGATTCATATTCTTGGTTCTTTCGGTAAAGTAACGTAGAAGGGAAATAATAAAATAATATAAATATAAAACAAAAAAATAATTTTTATTGTTTTATATTTATATTATTTTAAAAAAGTTTTATTGGTTTATATTTATATTATTACCGCTTCAGAATATAATTGGCGCGTTGTTTACGTGACAAACCTTACTGGCTGTGTCGGGTGATGGAGGATTACGACACATTTACACTTACGCGATCGAACCCAAAAACCTTTATAATATTGGTCGCGAAAGCCTGTTGCGTGTTCAGCTGAATCGTTGAATTACGTCTCGCTGGGAACTGGGCGGCGCGACATTTCGGTTCAAAGCTCGGCACCACAAACCGGGCCGGGCAGTGGTGGCTATGCACGTGGCAGCCTGTAATCCAGCATTGTAGAGGTGAGCGTTGGGTGGATCACCTCACAAATGTAGCGAAACTCCCTTACCGTGGGGCCTGGCTTGCCAGCAGAAGGCGGTAACAACAAATGTGGACTCCACCAACTCTGTCTAGCGATCTGTATGGGATAGAGTGTTGCCCCCTCACATGCTTGAGTTTTATCTGGGTGCTTCAGTTTGACCCCCCCCACCCCCTCATTAATTGGCTGACACATCTTAATGTTATCGAGGAGCGTAGAACTTGGGAAATTGTGGTAGCGCCGGCTCTGAATCGTCCCCTCGTCGAGAGTGAAATCGGTGTTCTTCGTGCTGGTGGAGCCACGTGGTGGTCGCCAGCGAGCGTCCTGGGAGCTGGAGGGAGTCTCGGGCCTGGACGCCGGATAGATTCCTGATAACACTCACAATGTTTCAGATGCAAGCTGAAAGCAAGACAAAATGCCTAATTGCTACATAGATGCATACGCACAGAGATTTTTGGGGCAAATGCCGTTAGTGAGCGCCTATGAAAGCCAAGACGGCACGCATGGGGGTGGATGTTTAGCACCACGCCCGGCCGCCTTTGTCTACCAATTTAAGGCTGAGTCTACCTAGGGGAGGGCCAGGACCGGTTTAGATATTCGTCACTGATGTTGGCTGTGTGCAGGAATCGAACTGTTCATAGAAGCGTGTAAACCATGATGCTACCGCTTTGTACAACACACAGACGCGTACATCAACACAGGCATACACACACACATAGAGACACACAGATAAACACACAAAACAGCCACTATGCCCTACCGTGACTACCGTATTAGCAAAGTAAAGTGTGCCACGTGTGGTTCAATGTTTTCCAGACTTCATGTTTAGGAACAGATGCCTTTATGGAATGAAAGAAAGATAGTGCTTGACACTGCGAGAATAATACATCACCCAGGCCTAATTTATTGAATAAAAAAATTGCGTGTTCGGGTCGAGTTGCGGGTCGGGTCAGATGTTCGTGAGTCAAAGACTCGACCCGAAGCGCCGAGAGCCGGGCTCGTGTCGCCACTCGACGAAGACCCCGTGGCGCTCGACAGCCGTGGCTGGAATGAGCCCCGATGCCTCGGAGTTCCATGTCCCCCTCCTTTCATAATTCGACGCAGTTGCACCGCCTGCACACTCCATAGCGACCCCACTCACAGGTGTTCCCGTGCAGAGGCACGGTGATGTGTGTGAGGATGTGGCGGGCAGCGAGGCGTGGAGTGATTGGAGAGGCGAGACGGGGGAGGAGGACGTGGGGGGAGGGGGAGGAGGCGCAGCGCTTCGGCTGTGGCTGCTGTTCCACTCGATCCCGCGGAGCCGCGCGTGCAGGGCCACTCTGCTCGCCTCTCTCGCCTCCTCACATCCTCTCCTCCCTCCCGCCTGCGTCCCACACTTCCTCCCCGCGCCCTCCTCCTCCTCCTCCTTTCATCCCCCTCCTCCGTGCGCCCGCCCCGCCACCCCGTGACGCGCCGCGCTCGGAGTCTCCGCTCTCTCGCCCGGACCCCGGCTGCGTCTCCCGGGCCAGACCGACCCAACATGCGCGCACTGCCACTGCGACCATGGGCGCTGGCCGGGCGCTGAGCGCGCTGCTGCCGCCGCTGCTGCTGCTTGTCGCCCGCCTCCTGCAGCTGCACCCAGCCCGCGCTCAAGGTGAGTGAAGCGACGCACACTCCGGCTGCCTACGGCGCAGACCACGCGCAGAGCCTCCACCCCCTAACCCACCACGAGCACGGCGCATCCCCGCGCGCTTCCCTCTCCCTGCCGCGCCGCCCCGCGGCGACAGAGCGGCGGCAGCGGAGAGAGAGTCCTGGTGCAGTATCATGCGGAGCAGCAGCAGCAGCATCAACACTGATTATCCAATACGTACTTATTTACCCAGGAAAATCACACTGAAGTCCCAATACTATTTTGCCTGCATTCGGATGTTTGGCCAACACCAATTATATTTCATCTCGTAGCTGTGGCAGGAAACTCAGGATACCCCGGAGGAAGTCCATACAGAATTTGTGAAGAACAGTGAGCTATATATACTCTGCAAACTGCACACGGCAAGGGCGCCCTAGTCGGAAATCGACCACAGGTCCTTCGTGCTGCGAGGCGCAAGTGTCACCACTGTGCCAGCCTGATGCCCAACAGCATCATCAGCCATGGCCGCAGCAGCATCATACGCAGCATCATAACAATCCATCATCAGTCGCAGAATTATAATCAGCAGCAATTTCAGCATCACAAGGGGACCGCATCTCGATCCTCCGAGGTTCGGCTGACTACACTCTCGGGGGTGAGTGGGGTTGGGGTGAGTGGGGTTGCGGCGAGTAGAAGAGGGAACAGCAGGGAACGGAGGGGGGCAGGGAGGGGGGCATGTCCCCGAGCATCCGCTCCCACTAATCCCCCCTCTCATTACGGGGCTCACGGCGTTTCCGCGGGGATTGGCGGAGGCTTGCGAATGCTCCTCGTGGGCAGCGACTGCTCCTCGTGGGCAGCGACGCGGGCTCCGTGTGCGTCGAGCCACGTGGGCGCCCAGTGCGGCCCCCAGCGCCGACACATCTCCTCCTTCTTCACCTCCTCCACCTCCTCCTCGCCTGCCGTGACTCTCGCTGTGACCTCCGCAGATGCCGCGTGCTGCTACCAGGCTCGGGAAAACCCCATCTGCCGGGAGGTGTGCGAGCAGGTCCGGTGATTATTATCAGCAGCAGCAGCATCATCACTGTTATCATCAACAGCAGCATTCAATCACTATCGTCAATGATGATTCTTTTTTATTGTGTCAACAGTACCTTTGTTAATTATCATCAGCAGCATCATGAATGTATTAGTAGCAGTAACAGCATCGTAATCGGCACAGCCAACATCATCATCATCAGCATTCAATTACCATCATGAATAATTATTATCATCAATCATAAATAAGCAGCAATAAATTATTATTATTGCTATCATGAATAATAATCATCATCACCATCATCATCAGTAGCATCATAATTTATCCATCATCATAGCAGCATTCAGCTCTTGTCATCATCATCCTCATCAGCAACAGCATTATTCATTCATCATCAATTGCAGCAGCAGCCAATCCCTATCAGCAGCATCGATACAATCAGTTATTATTATGCGGTCCGCACATCAGCATGCGTGCAATTATTGCAGACATTGCCGAAATGCCCAGTAATTGTGCAATGCCTGAAACCGAAATGCAGCAGGCTTCGATTGTACCACAACTTCACCTCCAGCTTCAGCCAAGCGTGGCACTCGCTCCCAGTGTTGGCAGCGGATGCTTGTGCTCAGCGTGAACGCACGCCAGCTTTCGACTTTTGTCCGGTAAACACGAGGAATGCATCCCAATGTTGCTTGCCTTGTCCACCACAGCTCACGTCCACCAAGAGCGAGTCCAGGATGAAGCATCTGCTGCACAAGCTGCCCAGTTACTGCTCCGACGGCATGGTGAGGGAGCAGGCTCGCGCGATCACGCACCGTACCAGAGGGGGTCCTGCCCCCCCCGCCCCCCCGCCCCCGCCCCCGCCCCCGGCGCTGTCTTGGGCAGAGCCCTGGTAATTTTTCCACGACAAATGAATCCCTGGGAGGAAGCGATGGTGAGGGGTGGTTGCGTCGGTGGCACTGGTAGCGATGGCATCTGACATCCGATGACCCCCTCCACCGCCTGCACGGGCAGTTCACACCGCGAGGAGCGTGGCCAGGGACTGAGCGAGGGACATTTCGCGCACGCGGGCAGAATTACGTAAGCATCGGCGGCGCGGGTTCCTTGATGGATATTTGCGGAATAATTCCAGGATCTCGCATGGCTCGGCTGATCAAGTTCAGACCCGGCGAGCTCCTTTGAAGGCAGGGGTTTGAACGTGTGTAATTATTGCCATCTGAGCGATCTGGGCAGCTCTGCTGGGCACGGAGTGGGGAGGGGAGCGGCCAGGGAAGTGGAGGGATTTGTGGGGAGGGATGCTTGGGGGAAGTGGAGGGCTTCTTAGGGAGAAAAGACGATGGTTTTGGGCTGCGGCCAGTGCCGGACCGTGCCAATGTGGTTATCAGGGCCCTGGTGCTTGTTGGCATACCGAGCCGCCACAGTTTGCAACACAGCCAAGTTTCACTCCTTGTGTAAGAGAGATGCAGTTCTAATGCAAAACATAACCCCGGAATCGTTTGACGTAACCGCGGTGCAATAATTGCGCGTTCGTCACAAATGAGTCAAACGCTTTTGAGGCTAAATCGGCGACCACGTGAGCATGCAGCGAAAATAGGAAAGTTGAGAGGCGAGGAATTTAAGTGTAGACTGTGAGCCTGAGCCCCTTCAGCGTGTGTTCACGTTTAGGGGTTTTTTGTTTTGTTTTTTTTGTTTGCCAAATGAAAAGAGAAGGGCCTTGCTCGGCGGAGCCTTGATCTTTTCACGGGACTGGTCAATGGGCCATTGAGGCGGGCGGGTTGACAAGGGGCCCCGCTGGGCGCCCGCCGCCCACACAAGCACGCCGTTGTTGGGCCAGGCCCCCGTGCGCCAGGGCCCCTCGGCCCTTCGGCCTCCTCCGCCTCTCCGCACTCGCACTCTCGCATGGGCGCCGGGTCCCCGCGAGCGTGCGTCCTTCTCGCTCGCGAAGACGTCGTCCTGCGGTTGGACTCGACGCGAGCGGCCGGGCGGATGATGAGGTACCGGCGTCCGTCTGCCACCGCGCAGCAAGAGTGTCGTTTATAGCGCGCGGGGTCGCCAATTATCAGCCAATGAGCCTGGCAATTAGCGGTGCGGGGTGACGTGCGCGGAGTGCAAATGTGCGATCTCGGTGCGAAACCGACGTCTGCGAATCGTTTAAATGATTAATGGCAACAAAAGTGAGAGCAAAAAAAGCTCCCTTATGCGCTGCGTTTGTTTCAAAGGCACGCGTTTTGCTGAGCACGCATGGCTGTGGTTTACGAGCGCCTGGTCAACGGATATAAGGTTGGCGTGGAGGCGGCGGCGACTATAAATTTTAAAGTAACATGAGTGAGGCATTTGTGGATTCGGGGAACGGAACGCATGTTGCAATGGTTAGCACCATGTGAGTTGGCCAGAGTGGCCGTCTTGGTGTTGCACCCCCCCCTCCCTCCATTGGCATCGCAGCGAGCTTGCACCCTGCAAGCTCGCTCCTCGCCCCATAGTGCGGCTCGTGGCCTGCGCTCCGGTAATTAGCATGCGAGTCACCTGATGTGGCCACACACGCAACCTCCAGTCGGCTCTCACTACCCCCCCTACCCCCCCCCCCCCATCTCTATTCCCATTCCTCCCTTCATCCCGTTCCCCGATACCCGCTTCGTCTCGGCACATGGTAGTGCTTTTTTTTACCCCATCATGTGACTCGCACACGCGGGGGGCGAAACCGCAGCCGCCTCGTGTCGGAGCAGCCCGAGCCAGGATGGCTCTTTGGGAGGCGATTTAAACCGTGGACGCGGTGCGGGGGACCAATTCAGAATTCGGAGCCCTCGTGACTGCGTGGGTTCTCGCGGCGCACGTGCCACGAAGCTCTCCGATGTATTTTCTTGTCGGCGGTCACGTCGGAGGTCTATGCAGATCTATACAGACGGCCCTTTGTCGATCCCTTGCCTGGCACAGGTCTGTGTCGGTTCGTGGGGATTGTTTGGCCATGCTTCTCCACGCCGGTCACTGCGAGTTTGATGAAGGGGCAGCTCAGGGGCAGGTTCAGATATTACTCGCCACTCACGTTAGCTGTGGCTGGTAATCGAACCCGGGTGTCTGTGTTCGCAGCGCGGTAAGCTAAAAAAAACAATTCCACCGCTCCTCTCAGCACACACGTGCGAATCTGGACTCGTAGAAGCCGACAGCTTAACTCTACCCCCCCCCCCCCCCCCGCAGAAAATGCAAAAGAACATTGGAATGTGGTGTGAATGAGATGCTTCATACTGCCGCCCACAGCCAGCATGCCACAATTCACACGGTTAGTTTAAAATGCCAAAAATACATTTTCGTAAGAAAGGAGGACCAACTTGTCACAATGTCTCTATCTTCTTCATCACAGTGGATATTGATGCGGCTCGCAGCTGATTACAGCCCACGTGCCAAGGGGTGTCAGTGTCTGTTTTGACTGACAATAGTTCAGACAGACACATGGGCGCAGACATCGCCGGGCAATTCCATTCCCAGTGACGAAATGTTTGGCTTTGCGGCAGAAAGCAGATGTTGATTAGCGAAGCTGAAGTCATCGTCTTGTATCACTAAATAAGTCGGACCGATCTTTTTTTCAAAAGAAAGCCACAAATATTCTGTAGCGTTTATCTGTGGCTTTCTTCTTAACAGCTGTGAGAAAAAACGAACCAATCACCCTCCTTGCATCACATTCGCAGGTCCACACACACACGCTTGTACACACACACACACACCTGTCCATCACACACACACTTGTCCATCACACACACACCTGTACATCACACACACAACAACAACCGCCATTCGCCACTAAGTGGTGGTGACGTCACCACGACGCTTGTGCCAGGCCATGTGCACCTTGAGGCCACGTGAAGTGTCGAACGCCCGCTGACAGGAGGTCACGGGGCAGACCCAGATGCCACGGTTTGACTGACTGAGATGACCGAGATGACTGGCTGATGCACCACCTGTGCCCCCTATTGTGCCAACTTGCTGTGCTTTAGCCACCCGGCGCTCCGCTCGTTGTTGTGAGCGTCGCTCCTCCACCCTCCGTTGTTGCTGGAGGGTGACTGCCTCCAACTGCCCAGTAGCAGCGTCCTTCACGAGCCTCCTCCACAGAGGCCGATCTTGACACCGATGGTACCAGTCATCGACAAGTCCACTCAGCTCCACGTCCTCCTGTACCACATCACTCCATCTCTTCTCTAGCCCGTACACACACACACACCTGTACATCGCACACACACACACACACCGTGTCACACACACATACACACCTGTCCATCACACACACACACACCTGTCCATCACACACACCTGTCAATCACACACACACACCTGTCAATCACACACACACACCTGTCAATCACACACACACACCTGTCCGTCTCCACCTGGCAGTGCTCGCGTCGTCACACGGTACGGGAGGCAGCGTGCACGGCACCAGAGAGTGCGCAAAGCCTCGCGTGTTTTCCCCGTGCGGGAGAGAGGCAGCGGGTGATGGATGGTGGTGGGCGGAGGAAGCCCTAGGCCCACGAGAAGCAGGAAGGGGAGTCCGTGCATTAATGAAAAGACAAATAAACAAACAAGTCCTTGTCCATGTCGCGGGCTCGGCTGGGACCCGTTAACGATGATGCATCACAGTGATTGTAAACACCGACGCCAGTGGCTATAAAACAGAAAGCCGACTACATAGGCCACGCGTGTGTGCACGTGTGCGTAGATGCTCGCTAACAGCACTTGCCCCAACAGTGTGTTCAGGCTATACGGGAGATCTCTGTCGTGCGTGCCGATGAGTGTTTGTGCGGCGAAACTGTTTTCGCTTGTGTTTGACGATCGCACCTACAGGGGCTCTCGGTTCACGTCGGGGTGATGTTGACTCGGGGTCGCCTCCCCGCCGTGATAATGTTGACAGCAGCAGTCGCTTGCGTTGAATCGCACGGAGCCTGAAGATGCCGATTATCTCGGCTTCCCACTGGCGCTACGCGAGAGCCCATTGACAATAACATATCTCCCCCGCAACACTTACCATTGTAACACGTAATCCTTTCCAAGAGTGAATGTGTAGGTACGTTAAACTCCCCATTCGTGTGAATGAGTGAGAGAGGGCCTTCAATCACTGTGCGGAGGTCTCTCTCCGGTTCCTGAGCGGCACTCGGATTTTCCCATGGGTTCAGAACGACCTCGGACACACGGAACGCAGCCCCGTAGCGTTGGTGGGTGAGCAGAGAGCGAGGCTGTAACATCCTGAAGAATCACGCCCGCTTCTAGATTATAGTCTAGCGCGATTAGTGTTATTAGTCAAGTCAAAACATGTTGCTGCGATGTTTACGAGCGGTGTCTTTATTTAAACGTCGTAGTAGTTGGGAGGAGCCGAACGTAATGCTCCATTTGTACAAATTGATGGGCGTCCCAAGCCGTTTCTCGCACACACACAGGGGATGAGGGTCGGCTCAGAATGCTCCGCGGACAAAAGCACTGCGCCTTGTCACTCGTGCTGTCTGGGGTGTCACGTCCACGTGAAGTTGAACATTGGCTGCATCGTGCCCCTCCGCAGAAGTGGCATCGCCACAGTTTTTGTTCGTTAAACTGCGTTTGAAACATACACGTTCCACAATTAGCCTCACTCCACTTCCATAGCCCCGGGAATTCACTTCGCGAGGGTTTCAGTCGCACTTGGCTCAAGGCAGCGCCGATGAACCCCCCGCCCACATCGTGAATGAATTCTCCCTCGACGTCTGAGGGCACGGCCCGAGGGTCGCGAGCGGCCGCAGCGGGACGGGGTCGCGGGGATGATCGTGGCTGAGGCTGGAGTGTGAGTCGGAGGCGAAAGTCCCGCGGGAGAAACCGGGACAAAGCTGGCATTTGTGCCGAGGAGTCGGGTAATGAGTGGCGACAGGCAGCGCCCCCCCCCGCCCCCCCTACTCCTTCCCTCCACTCACGGCCCAGGAATGTTAATGGAGAGGACCCCGGCAAGAGGCGCCATGACGGGGTGCGGATGGCGTGCGGGTGACGGGCGGATGGGTGGCGGCAGGGGAGGCGAGCCAGGAAACAAAGCGAGACACAGGGGCACAGGGACACACATTTCCTGTCGGGTCAGCCAGATATTAGTTCCGCCCTTTGTGCCACGAAAGCCCAGGTTTTTTTTTAGTTTCTGCGCTAATTTTATTTCGTACACTTAAAGTCCGACGAGATTTTTGTGAAGAAGTCGCAGTTTGCTGGCCCGGATTTGAGTCTAACCGTTGGGAGTCGATGGTGCGATGGTATCTTGTCGCAAGTTTTGTAAGAACGTGTGTGGAAAAATAAAACGGAGTGAATTTCAGAGACAGAATAAAAGTTGGGCGCTCTGAGCCGTCGGACGTCGTGAGATTGACAGACAGCAGTCCCGGGGAGCAGAGTGGGAGGGGGAATGCAGCAGGAGCGGCATGTGGGGGCTGCAGAGTTTAAGTTCCAATGGCTCTGCTGTGTCGGCTATGTTAATGAGCGTTGACTCAAACTGCTGGCTGCTTTCAAGGAAGGCGCAGACCACGCATCACGTGGTCCTTTCGCTGTTCGCACTGATCTCGTGTGCAGCAACTTCAGAGCGGCATTGCCTTGCCCACTGTCAATTTGTAATCGCTTACAGAAATTGCGAATTACTTGAAATGAATACCTGCGGGAGGGAGACTCGATGGTGCGTGGCTCAAGGGAGAGAGATCCCTCGATGGAATCGCCATGGGCCACGTGCAGAAGGTTCCGAATGGGTCTCATTCTGTGCCCCCGGTTGTTGGAAGCCAAGCCATGGAGTCCTATTTGCTCCCTTCACTGTTACACACACGTACGACTTGCACTGCCGAATGAAGGAGTGCTAATCCGAGTAGGATACCTCAACGTTTACACACTGTGCATCAACAAGCGAGTTTTTGAAACTCGCAAGTCAACCTTCGCTCGATGGGAGGTCACTTCTTTCGCTGATGCTGCTCCAGATGTCTGGAACTCCCTTCCTGGCCGTTTGTATTGGTGAACCACCTCCTCTTCTGCCAAAGTCTAAACTCAAGATTCAATCGTCTCCACGTGGGTGTTTGCAAACACGCTTCTGCCAATCAAGTCCTATCGGATCTCGACGTGGTCTATTGAATACCACCCATCATTTTCTGCTGTTTGAAAAAAACTACGATAAATCTTTATATGCATATTCTTTGGCTCGTTCAGTAAAGTCACGTAGATAGAAAAAATTAAAAGTTTTTAATAAATCTCTACGCAGGTATGTACTCCTGTTTGTACAGTGTCCTGCGATGTGGTCGCGGTTTGTACGCCGTACAAATCCACGTTTGCATTGTATTGCAAGTGTTGGACTCCACATGTGCATTGCAGATGGACGATGTGCATCCGTGCGCCACGCGCGCCCTCAGTTATTCGTGTTTGTGAGATTGCAGATGCCGTGAACACATTTGGCTCGTTTGGCTCCATCTAGAGCGGGCGGATTCTCGCGTGGATTGGGTCACTTTGGCCTCACGGCTGAGGGCTTCGTAAAAAAAAAATGCCACTGCACACGAGGTAGTTATTTTCCAATGAAAAAAGAACGCAAGCCAAAACACCAACGCACGCAAACACGTCTCTTCTGGACGATATGTACCAGGGCCATATCTTTGCGGCTTTATGAATGATAAAACAAATGCTTCAAAGTGAGGGTCATGAGCATCGTTATAGCCCTCCTGCTGACGTCACTGTGATGCTACTCCCCATGCACTTCAACCATTAATGCAGTGATGTCACTGAAATACTGTATTATAATGACACACATAACCGCAACTTTAAATACTTTTTTCTCATTAAGGAGACTTTAAACTGGTGTCGGTCCGTGATACATGACCGAGATACAAAATCACAATAACAAAATATCCCTTTGATTTTGGTTTGCCTTTAACTTTAATGGCAATTTACGCAACCAATTGCTTCGGAAAGCGCCCCAGTGCAATCACAGCGGCTCATATCCACGCACGTGCACAAGTGAACTTCGTTTATTACCTTTCAGATGAGAATCCATTGACACGTATTTATTCTTCCAGGGGACACCTGAAACAAAAGTAGCAGCAGCAGCCCTCAAACTAAAGATGACGGCTTATTCATATTTCACATGATGTACAGTCGTCTTCCCGTTGATAATCTCTGCCCTGTATAGTTACCTATTGTGTGCTGGAAGAATGCAGTCGTCATAAACAGACAAAAAAAACCACACGTGGACTCGAGGTTACCGATTAATTCCTGTGATGTTTTTATCTTCTTCTTCTGTCGTTGCAGCTTGAATTCTGGGACTGCGTCAACTCCACGCTCCCAGGTAAGCAACCACGTTCCCACGCTGGGCGCAGTGAGGGCCCAACGCTTGCGCCGGGCGCAACGAGCGGTAGTGGCAGGGATGGGCGGTGGCGCACCCAGCGAGACATTTCGCAGCGGGGGGTGGGGGAGGAAATATTTTTCCACTGAGTTGGAACAAAAAGTTTTCCCAACTCGGTCTTTATTTCAGATGAAACACACATGACTGAGCGCATGTGTGTTAGATTCAATATGGCAATCATTAAGCAATTCACACAATTACATTTTCACATCGCGTTGAGTCAAATGTATAAAAGCAATATACATCAGGAAAATATAAATTGTGTTGCTTACAATTATACGTTCATGGAAATATCCAAAATGGTCTGGACCATCAAAACATCTACACGGGGGCGCAATGGCCCCCCTATGCCATTGCTCTGGGTTGCGCCTCTGTGACGGGGTGGCAGGAGGCCACGGTGGAGGCTGGAGGGGTGGCGAGTGGTAGAGGGCAAGTAGGCCCCCGGCAGTTGTGCCGTGTCCCTGCGCCGGCTGATTAGCGCTCGATGTGAGCAGCACTGCCGGGGGTGCCGTGTCGTGACGAGATAAGCGGCTGCGCCCTGGCCTCACTCCTCCCCACCGCCGGGCCTGGGAGTGCTTCAAACAAACTTTTGCAGATCAACAAGCGCATCAACAACCGCATCATCCCAGCAACTGCGGCCGATTTTCCTCGCACTCCGCCCCCCCCCCCTTCCCCCTTAAAATTCGCCCCGTGAAATTAAGAGCGCGTCAAGCCTGAACGCCGTTTGAAACACGTTTTTTTAATTCCATTTTTGCGAGACAATCCTCGGAGGTGCAAGGGAGCCCGCCGCCACCCAGGTCACCTCTGCTCTTGTAAAGCGACAGGGGGTGGTGGCACGCGCGTGTGTGTGCGTCGTTGCGGCTGTGGCGGCTCTCTGGGGGCTGTGGCAGTGATGGCCGTAACGCAGGGCGGATTTGTTGCTGGTGGGGGTGGGGGTCGTGGAACGAGCCGGTGGTGTGAAACGTGCTCGCGCTGCATAATGGATCGGCGCCACCACCACCACCCCCACTCACGCGCAGCTCCCGTTCACTTGCCCCGACCCTGACTGCCAAACAAAGGGCTACAAATTGCAGTGCCAATTGCAGATCGCCCGGCGGAGGCGGCGGAGGCGGCAATGCACCCCCGGTTTGCGTGGATTGTCATCAAGTTGTGATGCACGCTGGGAGGGAGCGGGAGGCAGTGTAAACAGTTTGCTTCATGCCATTGTGCCGTGAAGACTGTAACTTGCGCTCACAGTCGCACGTTTGGTGCTGGGTGTGCAACACTTTGTTGCATGTGCGCCTTGCCATCAAGTTATCCTGACGTCCCCCCACCCCGATGTCATCGATCTTAGCAAGCGAGAAGCCAGTTGGAGCCCGGTTGGCACTGGTTGAATAGGAGACTGCCTCGGAATGCCAGGTGGTGTAGGCTCACGTTTGGAAGAGGCCAATACGAGGCAGTAGAGCAGCTTGAATCTATCCGTGCACAGCTTTAAGTATGCTCACATACGCATGGCATTTCTCCCGGGTACTCCAGTTTCCTCCCACATGCCAAACACTCATTAATAGATTATCCAAACATCCCAAAGTAGGACTCTTTTGAGATTCAGTTTGGCTTCCTTAGGTAAATAAATAATGTTTGTATATTTATAGATTGAGTATAAGTGAGATGCAGGATAATGGAGTGGAACAGGTGGACTGGATTCTTGGCCGCCTATGCTTTGGGGCCGCCTGCTATGGCCGGGCAAGGCGATATCCGTAACCTCGATGGGGAAACGAGAGACCGACCCTTCCTCGTCCCCTCGCCCGCTCCTCCTCCTGCTCAGGCCAGTTGCCAAGCGACAGCCTTCCCCTGGGACCGGAACCCCTTCAGCTGCCACTGGTTACGTGTGGGAGGGTTGGGGGTAGGAAAATAAAAACACTCTGTGAAAACCTCAAAAGTGTTACTCGGTCAGCGTTGACGAGCAGTCCTCCTCATGAGAATCCTCGTCGCGTGAGAGCGCGTGGGAAGAAGGAGGAGTCCGTGCCGCACCAGCCCGGCGATATCCCCTGAAGATAAGAGCTTTAATAGAGTCGAGGCTCGGCCCTCTGACCGCACCGTCGCTTTCGCCTAATTCCGAAACAACAAACCCAGCAAAGCGGCCCAACGCAAACAAGAGCGATGCTTCTTCAGCTGTGTTATTCCAGCGGTCTGCCGTGCGGAGGAGTGACGTGAGAAGAGGCGCGCAGGGGAGAGGCTGGTAGTTGCGGGGGTTGAGTAGGAGGGTGGCGTTGCGTGGGCGGTGGTGGTGGTGGCACCGAGTGCTGTATGGAGTACATGTACGCCCCATTGAGTAGCGGAGGACCCGTGAAGGACAACAACAGATCTGAGAGAGATGGACGGACGGATGGACGGGGAGGCGAGAGAGGGAGGCAGCGAGCCAACAGGGCTGTGTGTACAGACCACCCCGCGCGATCAGACAAGAGCTCGCACACTCGAGCAATGTGCAATTAGGCCTGTGTTTGTTGACCGGGAGGTGGGCAGAACCGACAGGGAGCATGGGAGCAGAAATGCAGAAATATTTGCTGGTTAATCTCACAGCGGCTCTGCTCAGACGCTGTCAAAAGGTCCTGAGAAATGGGCACAAGAAGCACGCAGACTCACACAATACACACATTACAAATGTCATTCAACGTACTCGCCCGCATTATTGTACTGTCACGTGATATGTTATTGTCATTGCATAGAGATGTGAGCTTCAAGGGAGGGCATGGTGTTACGTCGATCGGGCCTTTTCTGTACCGAATCCCATTCTCCAGTATTTTTGGCTTCCCCCGTTCGTGTGGTTTGATGCGACGCGGAGCTGCCTCTGCCGCTCAAACTTGAGGGCTTTATGCAACAGTGGCACCCACATTTCTTCTGCCCAAGGCTGCCGTGTATTTTTGCAAGGCAATTCCAAGCCCCTTGGGATTTGCGTCAAGTGTCAAAAGGAATATATTTGAGATTCTCCACAGCAGAACGACTCCCTAATTCGCATTAAGCGCGAACGCCTTCCCGATGAGTAAGTACTCCCTCTAACCTCGAGATGTTTGACGAGCAGACTATTTTTTTCACGAATTCCATCTCGGAGTCGTCGCCGAGCTCCGCCGCTGTTTACGTTTTACAGGCGTTTGGCGGCGCTCGGCTCACAGAGCGATAAGAGTTGTGTGGTGGGGGGGTGTCCTGGGTGGGAGATGTTTTAGAAATTCTCGCAGCAAGTTACTCCTACATGTCGACCCCTTATCAGTGCCTAACTTATTACAGACAAATTCAGACCGTATTGGTCACCCTGTGTCCCCTTATAATTCTCAACGTTCATCCTACAAAGTCCCATCACAAGGGAGAAACACAAACAAATAGACAATATATATTGCCCGTATTGAAACGGCTGTATGCCGCATGGACCTGAAAACTAAATTTTCCTGTTCAAGAATACGGGTAAACCGTATGGGTTGACAGCTACGACAACGTGACGTGACTACCTCTGCGCTGGTAATTATCACAGTTTCCCCAGAAGTGGGGGCACGTGTTATCTCGGGAGATGCATTGCTAATATATTAAAACATTTTCTTCAATCCCCACCCCTCACACCTCCGCGGTTCGTGAAGCCAGATGTATTTTAACGACGCTTCCCGCATCTCGAGCGGAACAGCGTGGTCCGCTCGCGAACGCCGAGACAGTGAGCCGAGTGTTTTCCTTGCTCTGACGGCTGTTTCTCATCAAGGTGGCGACCGGGGAGGGTTGTGGTGGTGGAGGGGGTTTTTGGGGACTGGTAGACGCGGGTTGGGGGGGGGGCCTGCCCAGCCCAGCCCACCAACCCCCGCTACCTGGCAAAACAAATGCTTTAGACTCCAGCAGCTGCTAGATGTCACACGCGTCGGTGGGGGGCGTGGATGGCTGTCGCTCATTTTTTACGCGAGGTTTCAATCAGCGCCACCCCCAACCCCACCCCATGCTCCATTGGGAGCTTCGTGAACCCCCAAAAAAAACAACGTGCGGGGGTGGAGCGGTGGGGGGTGTCAACAAAGAATAGGGCCCCGAGGCCAGGAAACTGGAACCTCCTCTCACCAAGTAGGGTGGGCCCCTCAGGTCCGCCCGCCCGCCAGGTGAGGTGCTGCTGCTGCTATGTACAGAGATGAGAATGGGATGTAACCGTGCAGAGATGTTTGTCACGCTTCTGTGCTGTGCACGGTTTACCGAGCACAGCTCTGCCTGTTTTTGGTCCCCAAAAAAGGTGAAAGCGGCCACCAACGGCCCTACCGTGGTCGCGACAGATGAGAGTGTAACGCGTTTTTTGCATTGAGCAAAGGTTAATATTGGTTAGACACTGCCTCACCAATACATACTTCACCTCAAATGGAACATTTTACAAACAAGTTGAAGGCACCCCAATGGCTTCTCCCTTATCTCCGGTTGTAGCCAATGTTTTCATGGAAGATTTTGAAACAGATGCCATCCAGGCATCCACTCTACGTCCGTCCTTGTGGAAGAGGCACATAGATGACACGTTCGTCATCTGGCCATATGGCCGACCAGCTCTGAACCAATTCCTCAACCACATTAATTCCATACACCCAGCCATCCAATTCACCATGGAGGTGGAAAAGGATGGCAAGCTACCATTTTTGGATGTTCTAATCGAAAAGAGATCAGATGGCTCAATGGGACACTGTCTACATGAAAGCAACTCATACGGATGCCTACCTAAAACCTGACTCCCACCACCATCCATCCCAAAACTCTACACCATAGAGCTCGATGTATCTCCGACCATCATCATCTAGCCAGTGAACTGAAACACGTACACCAAGCTCTCAAGATGAATGGATATTCGGACCACACAATCTGTAAAGCTATCACCCCAACCGTTGGGAAATAACCATCTGAGGACCATATCAAAACCATCACCTTGCCATACATAGCAGGGGTCACCAAAAATATTTCCA